AAGTGATCAAATGTAATCATTTTGCCAAAGGACTCCATACCAAAAAGATTTTGAACCCCAGTTGGAGATCTGCCTGAGACTCTGAAAGGTTAAATGACTTGCCTCTGGTTAACCATCTAGTAGGACTTGAATCTAAGTCATTCTGACTACAAGGCTGACCCTCTATCCAATATGCCAGATTGATTGCCTAGGTGTTCATTAAGAGAAAAAAAAATTCAAGAAGGAAATATGCCACCTAGAGATATTTTCAACACACAATTCAAATGATGAAAAAAGAAATTATGTAACAGAATTTACAGAAATTACAAAACAAATATAATTAAGTCATTTTATCTGGTTAAAATGGTCATAACCCTAAGAACAGGAGGTTTCAAAATGTTGCTTAAGATCAGAAACATTACTAACAACAACTGCTTGGGAATGTTTTGTGTTTTAAGCATTCTAAATGACAAATTTTTTTTTTGCCGTTATCTTACTTAGTCATTTCATTCATTTTTCACCAACTCAAGGAAAAGAAACCTAACGAAAATATATCATTAAATTCCTTCCTGATCGTGAAGATCAATATGGCAAAGGAGTATCTTATGCTTATTCCCTAATTACTAATAACAGAAACTGAAAAGCATTCAAGGAATATGTGGTTGCTTAAAAAAAATTATTTGTCGCCATCAGAAGATTTCCAATAATGAAAACAAAATAACCTCAAGACATATGCTCCTCAGTACTTCAGAACATAACCAGAATAACTATCCCTCTCAAAAGTACTCTGAAAGAAATTCCCCAAAGGTGGGGGATCCCAATTAAATGGCTGAGCTTAGATGCATAGTTAAGTTACAGACAAAACATGAAAACAGAAGTAAAAATGTTAGCGATAATCAAAGAACTCAATTCAAATAAACTAATAAATAAATTTTCATGATCATAAGATACTACCTGAAACCAGAAATACTAAAGTTTCCTGCTATTTTTATTTTTTATTGGAATTGAAAAATCACATATATTTCTAGTTCTCAACTACTCTCTGAGTTATAATACCAGATTATCATACTGCAATAGCTAGAGACCATAAACAAATTTAGGTAGCGCTTGAAAAATGTTATGACAGTTCTCTACATCTGAAAGACATACTTTTTCAGGATCAGATCCTTAAGCCCCTCTTTTTGAAATATACTTCCACTTAAGTCATTTTAAAAAAAGTTTAATCTCCCTCATGTATTTATTTAAATCTCCATTGCAGGGAAAATAATACAGCAAATATATATATATATACATATATATATATATATATAAACATATACACATATATACATATATATGCATACACATACGCACACGTACAGATACTTTTTGAGGGGCATGGGGAAATGGGTAGTTTCGAGTAAGGCCGCCAAAATCTCTCAAGAATATGTATATGTGGGAGAGAGAAAGAGGGAGGGAGAGAGAAATAGCATACTCAGCGCCCAGGACACCACCTCATTTCCCTAATAGGGATGAAAAGCTCAGGCCTCTGGTAGCTTCCAGCTGACGCCAGTGTTCTCCACACCAACCCCCCCCCTTTTTTTTTGACAGGATCTTCAGATGAAGAAGCTACTGCTGGCGTTGGGGGGTGGGGGGAGGGGTCGTGTTTCTAGTATATGGTACCAGGATCCCTTCCGGGCAGCCCAAAGCCTTAACCACTTCATGCCCCACGCCTCCCTCCCCGGGATCTGGTGCATCAGCACCTAAAGACATCTTACGTGGAAGATGGTCTAAAGGAAGCTTTGCCCAGCCGCACGGCGCATCATCTCGAAGGCTCAAACGCGCGTCGAGGAGAAGGAGAACGAGGAGAAAGAGTTTCGGCCATTCCCTTCCCTAGCTACTAAAATTACAGGCTCCATTTCCTGTCCCTGGGGTGATGACCAAGTCACCTCGGGGAGAGAGGTCCTTTCCCCGGGCTCGGTGCCAACCTGGGCCACCCCATCCTTGCCGGACGCCGGAGAGCCCTTTAGCCAACCTTCGCTTGGGTACCACAACCCCTCCCCCTGCCCAGGGTAGGGCCAAGGAGAGGCTGGAGCTCCAGACTCTCGGGCACTGCCCCCTGCCCGGCCTGCTCCTGCCCCCTGCCCGGCCCGCTCCCCTACCCTGCCCTCCGCGCCCGCCACCCCACGGGCCCGGGCGCGCACTCACCTCTCTGCAGGAGTTTCACCTCCCCGTTCTCCTCTCGGGCCCCTCCGGCCTCACCCGCCCCGGCGGCGACGTGCCTCCTCTTCTCCTTCTCCCGCTTCTCCTTGGGTCTCCGAGGCTTGGCGTTAGCGGCGGCGGGGGCCGGGAGCAGAAGATGGTGGTGGGGCTGAGCGTGAAGCAGCGTCGGGGAGACGAGCAGTTTGCGGGGCAGAGGTTGGGGAGAGAGTGAAGAGGAGGAGGAGGAGGACGACGACGACGACGACGACGAAGACGAGGAGGAGGATGAAGAGGAGGAAAGGAAGAGGAGGAGGAGGAGGAAGTGGTGGCGGCGCCCGCGGGAAAAGAGAAACCGCCGGGAGGGGTGGCGGCGGCGGCCACGGCCGCGAAGCTCCACAACGCGGGGCTGCCATAGCTCTGAGGCGGAGGCGGCTGCTGCCTGCTATTCCCGCCGCCGCCGCCGCCCCCTTCCCCGTTCACTCTTCGCGGCGGCTTCTTCTCCTCCGTACGGACCTTCTTGGCAGACAGAGAGCATGACGGGTCCCGAGGAGAGGGAGGCGGCGGCGGTTTGCAGAACGATTCTTTCTCCGGGGCGGCGGCAGCGCCGTGGACGGGGCTCAGTGGCTCCGCCATTTTGCGCTCCTGTTGTATTTACTCTCCCTCCGCTCCCAAGCGCAGAGGCGAGAGGGGCGGGCCATCGTCGGGAGGGGAGGGGAAGACGGGGAAAGGGCGGAGCGGAGGAAGGACGGCTCGGAGGCGTTCGCCATAGGACGGGCGGCACTGAGGGATCCCTCCTCTCTCCAATCATACTCGCGGATGAGGAAAGGAGGGGTGGGACCGAAGAGCAGAGAGATGAAGTTGAGTTGGGGTTCTGCGGCACGCGGCGCGAGACGGAGAGGGGGCGGGGAGGGCCTGCCAACCGCCCCCTAGATCCGCGCCTCCCGAGGCTCGCGGGGGTGGCAGCAGAGCTTGGGGCCCCGCCCGAGATGCCCAAATCCGCCTTTCCCCAGGTCTCGCACCTTTCTGTCAGTACAACTATTTTTTTTCCTCTTTTCTTTTACGCTTCATTACTTTCTCTTCCTGTTCGCTGGGCCCCTTCCTGGCTCCCCGCTCTCTGATGACAATTTCAGGGATGTTCAGAGGAGGGAAGCTGCAGGCGGAGAGTAAGTCGTTTTAAGTTCTTATCAGGGATGGAGGAAGGGACCTAGAGTCGGTGTTTCTGACCAAATGCTGGGGCTGCCCTTGTTACTGTCGTCGTCGTCACTACCATCCGCCTTTCGACTTCATTTTCCTGCTTGTTCTGAGCATTCTCCTCGAAAGCTGGGGTCAGTCAGTCTCTGGTCAGCTAGCATTTACCAAGCGCCTACTCTGTGCCAGACCCTGAGGTCTTTCTCACCTATCAGGACTGGGTGCTGGCTTATGTAAGAAATTTTCTATTACGACTGTTTAAAATATTACTTTTTTTCAATTAAGAAACAAAAAGGTTTTTTTTCCTTTCTGAATCATCTCCGTCGACTGAAAAAACTATTGCTCAAATAGCTAATTGTAACTAAGAGTCCAACAGAAAAGCAGTTGACATTTAAAAAAAAAGCCAACTTATCAATTCATATGAAAAATCTAAGGGTTTTGAGCAACACTGTTCTCCCAAGATTACTGCATTTTTTAGCACTTTATTGAGTATCCTAGCTGTTTTTGTAGACCTTGTATATTTAAAGGGAAAGGGATTTGAGAAGTTTAAAAAAAAGTAATTTGATTGTAATAACTGGTAATGCTAGAAGTGATTTTTTGCCATTAGCTTTTGAAACTGACTTAAGATGTCAGAATTAGGGAATCTGTGGAGTAGATTGCAAAGTTCTGTTAGTCAAAACAAGATGACTAGCGAATAAAAAATGATTTTTAACATTAAACATTAGAATTGACATAAGATATAAGTAGGGGAAATGTCGAGAAGATAAGTTATAAAATTGTATTAGTCAAGACAAGAGATGATGAGTAAATAGAGAGACATTTAATTAGTACTGAAAGTACTCAATGTTTAAACTCTATGAACATGAAAGTTTCTGAGGGCCCTTGAGATCAGCCTTTGTATGAGTGGAAAGTATTACTGCCTCCTCATTCCTGTAACCTCAAGAAGGTTTTTAAGGTTTTCTTTTTACAATTAAAATGTCTTTTGAAAATTTATGAATGCCCAGGAATGAGCATAATATGTAATAAACACTATTTGAAGTCAGTTGAACTGAATTCAAAGTTCTGTCCCTGCTACTTTACTGCCACTGTGACCTTGGACAAGTTACTTCTCAGTATCTCAGTTTTCTCATCTGTAAATGAGGAGTTTGTAGTAAATAAAGAATTTTCTTGTTCTAAATCCTATGATCCTATGTAACTTGGAAAGCCTAAACTTGAAATAAAACCTCGTTTAAGTTATAGCTCATCTACTGTGGGTTAGGTTTTTGACCTCTCTGAGCTAGTTTCTTTCTCTGTAGATGGAGATGATATTACTTATACCTCCTACCTCAGGCAAGTACTTTCCCTTTCTGTGTGTCTTCAGCAGTTAGCAGTGCCTGCTTAACACATTATAAATGCTTGTGGACTGACTAAGTGGCTGACTGAGGGGATTAATAAAGGAAGCTAGGTAATATAGTGAATAGAGTGCAGGACTTGAACTGAGGAAGAGCTGAGTTCAAATCCCCTGTGTGTCACCCTGGACAAGTCACTCAAGCTCTCTTTGCTTTAGTTTCTTCATCTGTAAAATAGGGGTTGGTAATAGGACCTAACTCCCAGGTTTGTTGGAAGGATCAAATTAATTAACATATATAAAGCCTGTGCATATGTTTGTATTTATTTATTAGCAATAATAATAATTGTAGCTATTATTTATATAACCCTTTAAGGTTTGCAAAGCACTTTACCAATATTACCTCATTCAATCCTCAAAACTCTGGAAGGTAAGTTTTGTTATTATCCTCATTTTACTGATAAGGAAATTGAGGCAGAGAGAGGTTAAGTAACTTGCTCTGAGTCACATAGCTATTGTCTTAAGGCTAGATTTGAACTCAGATCTTGCTGATTTCATGTCCATCTATCCACTGTGCTATATACACAGTGGATAGTACTTTAATTCTGAGGAAACCACATTATAAAATATCATCCAATGTATAAATATAAGCAAATAGTAGTGTATATTGAAAAATATTAATGATTGTACAGCTTACATTTAGGACAGCTATACACATTCTCCTCTACTAAAATTAATTGAAAATAATTTTTAATTAGAGTTACCATTTGTGAGCTGGGGTTTATCTTAGAAGAACATCAATATGATTTCTTAAAATAAAAGACCGTAAAGATTATTTTCATCCTGCTGATGTAGTCATTTAACAAGTAAGTAGAAAATACATTTTGTAACCAATTTAAGAAGAAAGTTAAAATAATTCTCAAATCTTTATCCAACTGCAAAACATTTATTGGTTTGTTTTCACATCTTTCCAATTAAGAAAAGTCTAAAGTTTTAAACTATTGACTAACTGGAATTCTCCCAAAGTATTTCCCACATACCTATCTTGTTTTACTCCTGCATTCTCTCATCTAAAGTAAAGGTCTGTTGAATGAGCCAAATAGAAGTGCCTGCATTTCAAAATTGCTCTTAAGGTTTTCCTGAGTTGTTGTGGTTTTTTTTTTTTAAGCTGTTCAGTGCTTCCACTTGACCCCTGAGAAAAACTGAGTTCCATAACTATCCTGTATAAAAACTCTTTTTTCCTTGGTTCATCTGAGACAAAGTTGGAATATTTCAAAAGGAATTTTTATGAGAAAACTAATGGAAAGCAAACAACGTTCCTCTACTTAGCAACCTCCCCCCAAAAAAAAATTGAGGGAGGGGAGCAGGGACTGAGTTTTTAAAATATGGATTTCTAATCCTAACTTTAATCAAAAATCATCTTAGCTACTGTTGATTATGTATGTAGTACCCAGTTCCCAGTCCCTTTCCCTCAAATCAAAATTTCTAGATTGGATTATAATCTTTGCTAGAGAAATATACTTCCATTTCCGTCCCAAGGTTATTTAGGATTGGTACTACTAGCATCTTCAAGCCTCCCCAAACCTGCTGGCATTTTCATTTAGAGATTTGATGCTCAAAAGGTCCTGGGCTAGGCTTTATTTTTTATTTGTACCTGCCTTGACTCTCTGAGCTTCTGCCTAATCTCTGGCACACTGGATAAGGCAGTTTGCATCTATTCCCAAAGTTCCGTTTCTTTCTGATTCTTCACCTCCACTTCAGATCACCTACGACTTTACTGATAAACACCTTCAGTCTATTCCTCAAGGTTTTCTGTTTTCCTAGGATCCAAAAAAAGTCCTATTCTTTCTCCAATCCATTTCTCCCTAAACTGTTCATTTCCTCTACCAATTCTCATACGTTAAATGACAGAATTTGAATCCATAAGCAGGCATACTTTGAGGCTAAATTGAACTTAAGACAAATGTCAATTTGGGCTCACATATGGTGTTCAAAAGATCAGCTGCATAAAAGTGGGAATACTGAACCACTTCACACAATGTTGGACTTGGTTGATGTATTTAGTTTTGCTGAATTTTTTTTTCTTATTTTTATTCTTTGTTACAAGGCATGACTCTAAGCGATGGGGGAATATATTGGGGAAATATAGGTGATATAAAAATGAAATATAGTTTAAAAATTTTTAAATACCAACTGTACAGGTGTGAGATGTCTAGCCATACCTTCCTTAGCAGTTCATATGAAAAAGATATAGGGATCTATCTGACTGCACTGTAACATAGATATAAGTTGCTGTTTTGTTTTCTGTGGCAACTTCTTTTTAGAATGGCAAAAGCGAGAGTCCCAGTCTGTTTTGCTTTAATTATATTACATATGGAGTGTTATGTTGAACCCTGGGCTGTACATTGTAGGAAATACATTGATAAGCTGGAGTATTCTGAGAAAAGGGGAGTCAGGATGGTGAAGTAACTTAAAAATTATGCCATATGAGGATTGACTAAAGGACCTGGGAATGCTTCACCTGGAGAAGAGAAGATTTGGGGGAGGCTTGGTTATTATTGTCTTCAGATATTTGAAGAGTTGTCATGTAAGTAAGTAGATCTGATTTATTCTTTGGCTCAAGAGGACAGAACTAGGACTACCACATAGAAGTTACATGGAATCTCAATATAAAAAAAAAGGTTCCTAACAGAGTTGTCAAAAAAATGGAATTAACTACCCTAAGAACTAATGAATTTGCCACTAAAAGTCTTCAAATAGAAGCTAAATAATCAATTACTTGTTGGAGATGCTGTAAAAGGCATGCATGCTTCAAGTAGTGGTTGCACTAAATTACTTTTAAGACTTTTTCCAACCCTGGTTCTTTTATTCTATATTATGAAGGAAAAAAATACTGTAACAAATTTTTTTTAAATTTTCAGTTAGTCCAAACTCAAGGAGATTTTACAGAGAAGGTACCAACTTGCTTGGTAGAGGGAGTTTTCTAACTTAGGACATAACCTTTACTAATGAAGTCACAAGTCCAGCTCCTAATACCTATCCCTACTGGATGAAAAAACATAGTTAAATTTATAGCCTTCAGTACATGAGATTGCTAACCCAATTATTTTACCTAGAAGCAGGTGAAATAGTTCTGTAGTTGTCCAAGTAAGGAAAAATTGTTAATAATCTAAAAATACATATACATAGCAAGAAGATGCAGCAATATGTATCCATATGTGTGCTGTTCAATTCAGGACCCCAATTTTCTCTCCTCTCTTTCTCTCCCTCCCCTCTCCATCTTACCCATAAACTAATACAGTCCAATTCAATAAACATTTCTTAAGTGCCTACTATGATCAAGGAACTGTGTTAATGTTTTGTTTTATTTTTTAATGAAATTAGATATAACAACCCTCAAGATTATAAACAAATCATAGATAAAAGATGATGTGATGTAGTGTAAGATAGGATACAAGTAACCATGATATTAAGGCTATATATAAGGTTCTGAGATTTAGAACTGGAAAGGACTTTAGAGATTCTGATTTTGCAGATGAAGAAAGAGGCCCATGGAAGTTAAGTGACTTCCCCAAAATCATGCAGTTAGGAAATGAAATAGCTGGATTCGAACCTAGGAACTCCAAATCCAAACACAATGCTTTTTTTTTCCATTCGTATCATACTATCTCACTCATTCCTTTGAGAAATTTGAGAGAGGAGTGATCACTTCTGATTGGGGAAATCAGAGAAACCTTCATGGAGCTGGAAGCTCTTGAGTTGAGCCTTGAAAGAAGAGGTGGAAAAGTTCAAGAGGTTAAGTGACTTGCTTTCTTCCTCTGTACCTAATATCTCTTGCAGAACAGTTGTTCTGGTTAGTTGTGAGTTGTGAGAACCCTTATGTCTCAGAATGTTTTTTCTCTGCCCTTTTCATTTCACCTCTGTGGGCCTCATTTTTCTTATCTAAAAAATAAGTGTTGGGCTAGCTGACTCTAAATCTTTGGGGACATGCTAGGTCTGACATACATTTTTTTCCATGCCTTTTGGCAGAGTATTTAGGCATAGAGGGAGGACTTGGAATTATTTAATTCTGTAATTCTATTGCTACTTGTTGGGAAGAAGGAGCTGAAATAACAGGACCATGGACAAGGTTATGAGGCAGCACCTCTGGTAAAGGGATCATTTACCCTCTCAAAACTTATCATGGACCCTACTGGAAAATTAGGCCTCAAAATAAAATGTTCTAAACTTTAAGTTCTAGCTAGGCTGTTCTCTCAACTGAATACCTCCCTGTTAGATGTGAGATTCACTTGTCTAGAATAAGTTCTTATAAAACTTAACTTTTATAAAACAAGAGAATATAAAAATATAGGAATTCAAAGCAAATAATAAAGACCTGTCTGTTATGCCACTGTGATGACCCATCTCATAGAATTTTTATGAAAAAAGCATTTTAAAGTTCTAACATAAATGTGAGTTATCTTTTCTCCATGTCTGTCAGACATGCCTGGACAGATGAACTCTTTCAAAGTTTCCCTAGAGCAAGGATTTCAAATTGGATTTCAAAGAGTTTTCTTGAAAAATACAATACAAAATAGAGAGCTAAGAAGTCAATAGGATAAATAATTGAGCTGGAGTAAACTCTAAAGACAGATAATCAGCAAAGCAAATAAGCAAAGTAATCGCTGTCAAATTTGAAAGCAATATTTGCTTTGAATAGTAAGAAAATGAATAGTAGATGACTTTTTTTCTAATATGAGTATTCCTTCATAACTCCCTCATTGTTTTTTAAACCAGTCTCTTTTAGTTATGGGGAGAAAAAAATCAAGTTAACACGAAGTTAGGGTAAAGGGGAGGAAAGAAGAGGAAACTAGAGATGGAAGCAACCATTCAAGAGAGCTTGTAAAGGTGTCAGTCCATGTTTATTTTTTTAAAAAAAGTTTCAGTACATTTAAAATTTTTTTTTTAAATTTCAGTTCAATTTAAAAATTTTAGGTGAGTCACTTAGGTGACTTCACTACAGTGTAATATAGTGGATAGGCTGCTGGTTTTCATTCCCATCTTGCCTTAGGCACTTTTTAGCTGTGAAATTCTAGGCAAGTCACTTAACCTCTCTAAGCCTCAGTTTCCTCATCTGTAAAATGAGAAAGTTGGTTTTGATGACCTCTAAGGTACCTTCCAACTCTAAACCTATGGTACTTTGTACTTTCGTTAAAAAAAAAAGGTAGTTTTATTTCTGCTTTGACTTTGTTTTGTTTTTGTTGTTAAGAGAGGAAGTTAAGATGTCACTGGCTTCCTGCAAGACTCATCTCAAATTCCATCTCCTCCAAGAAGTCTTTCCTTATCACCCCACTTCAAGTACCTTTGTTCTGAGATTACCTTCCATTTACACTTTATATATCTTCTACTACATACTTGTTTGTATATCATCTCCTCTATTAGAATCTGAGA